GAGGTCCCTACATCACAGGAGGTCCCTACATCACAGGAGGTCCCTACATCACATCACATCACAGGAGGTCCCTACGTCACATCACAGGAGGTCCCTGCATCACAGGAGGTCCCTGCATCACATCACAAGTGCACATGGGCAGCTTCAGGGCTGCGGGGACGAAGTTGGGGCTCACAAAATCACTGCTTATTCCTCGGAAACTCAGGAGAAATGAGTGCTGGGAATCAGTCGTGATGGTTGCAACACGTACACACACACGCATCTGGTTTTAACAGAGTTCCAGAAAGAACGATGGAAATCCAAACACTACCATGCCCCCTGCCTCCATGCCAGTCCCGACTGACAGGGACAGCCCCAGGGAACAGGACACAACAGGACAGGGGACCTGCCCATGGGTTTCCCAGGCTGCCCTGTCCTTCCCCGAGCAGCTTGGGAGGCGGGAGGTGCTGGCCTCCGTGGGCAGATGGGGCCCCAGGCCAAGCACCACACAGAGACAGGCGTCGCGACTCAAGACCCCAGCGCTGGGGAGAGGCCACTCACCCGTGCTGCTCCCCGAGGTCGGCAGCGTCGTCCGCAGGCGGTCAAAGTCCGAGAACTCGTCAGGCTCCGCGTCAAAGCCCCCAACTGCTGGAGGGCAGACCACATCGTCCCACAGTGTCACACACGCCCGTGAACACACGTGCACACACACACGGTCCACTCAACACGCCCTAACCGACATCCACGAGCACAGAGGTGTGTGCACACCTTCACGTACACACACGTCTCCACTCCACACGCCAACGGTCCCCCCGCCTCGGGGCACCCCCTGCCCAGGACTGGCCACACCGAGGGGCCCAGGACTGCACACACTGAGGGGCCCACACTATGGGGCCTAGGCACCGCGGGTACACACCCACTCATGTGCACCCCCTACCCGGGACTGCCCACACCGAGGGGCCCAGGCCTGCCCAGTACCTGCAGTGCCGTTGGTGCTGGGCTTGGCAGGGGACCCTCCCCAAGGGTCTGAGAAGGCCGGGGCCGGGGCCCAGGGATCAGAGGTGGGGGGCCCGCCGAGGGGGGCCCCACCTGTTAAAGGAGGAGGCTCTGTGTGAGGGGTGGACCACCTGCTGGCTGGTCACTCAAGGGACCCACACAGGCATTCAGCACACCCTCAGACCCCCTCCGCCATGCCTGTCCCTGTCCCAGGAGCTCAACCCACCGTTCCCACTGAGGCCGTGCCCAGACGCCCCACTCTCTCACCATCGGCGCCCCCCCAGGGGTCGGGCGTGGGCCCCTCTCCAGCAGCGGGCGTCGGGGTCCCTCCCCAAGGGTCGGCCGTGGGTCCCGCCGGAGCGGCTGGCCGCCAGGGGTCTCCCGAGGCCGGCGTCGGGGCAGGGCCGCCCCAGGGATCGGCAGCAGGAGGAACAGGGGGTCCCCCCCAAGGGTCCGAGGAAGGGGCAGCAGTAGGGGCGCCAGTGGCCACGGGGGCTGGGCCTCCCCAGGGATCCGAGGTGGGCGGAGGAGCCGGGGCCGTGAAGACGTCGGCGAGGTCCATGAGGGACGACTGTGGGAGGGAGAGGACAGCGTGAGACCCGAGGAGACGTCCCCACGCACAGCGCGTGAGGAAGGAGAGGACGTCGCCAAGCCGGGAGCCGGAGCAAGTACAGGGGGCCCCAGGTCCCAGGGAAGCGACCCAGACACAGGGCTGGGGCTCAAACACGCTGCATCAGGACAGTCGGGCAAAGGCGAGGAAGGGGCAGAGCCCCAGCAGCACGACCTACGGGCCCACCAGCTCCCCCAAGCGCACCCACCTCCCCAGGTGACTAAGCCCAGGCTGTCTACCTCCCAACGTGCACCCCCCACACCCCCGGCCGTCCTACGTGTCTTCCTGCCCGCACTCCCACCTCCCGGTGCGCCCCCACCTCCCCGCCTCACACAGCACTAACAGCTGAGCCCTGCCGCCCGCAGAACGCCCACAGGGCCTCGGCCGGTCCTCACCCAGCCTGCCCCCCACCCCGAGTACCCACAGCGTTCCTCAGCAGAGGGGCTCCTCCCGTGGGGCATCTGCCTCCATGGCCCTCTCCCTGGGGAGTGTCCATCTCAGGTCCCCACTCCCAGGAGGTCAGGCCAGTGAGGGAGCCAGAGTCCACTCTCCTGCCACCCCTCCCTGGCGGTGACTGGATGCCCGCTCGGACAGCAGCCCTGCTGTTCGCCAGGCCGGGGTTCCCACCCCATGGCGGTCGCTGCTGTCAGTTCACAAGCCCGGCGCCCCGTCAGGGCCGAGGCGCCCACGCCTTCCTCACAGCCCCCGCGGGCGTATGCCCACTGCTGCAGTCACCGCGCCAGGCCGTCTCGAGCACAGTCGTCCTTGTCTGACCGGCCCACTGCCCAGAACGCACTCCTTTTCCGAGGACTGGCCCCCTTGTCCGTGAGGGGCCGTCTCACCGGCCCGGGCCCCGACACTCCCTCCGACAACGGCCGCGCTTCTGACCATCCGAGACACCCCGCCCTCTTCGGCACCCCAACTCAAAGGCACCACTCAGTCAAGCCTTCCTTATTCAGTATCCGGTGTTCAAAGAGAGATTCCTGGTGTTGGACGTCAAGTAGGGTGTGCCTCACAGCTGACCGTCCAGCTGGTTTTCAGAGGCAGTAAATCGCAGGGAGGAGACTGCCAATCAGAGCATCTTGGAGATTCGAACCATTTACCTCGAGGATTGCAGTGCAGCTTCTTACCACGAGGCCACCAGAACTCCCACAAACACATACTCAGCAGCTAGGTGATCTGGGTCAGGCACACCCTGGTCCTGGTCGACAGTACGGTCGGTCCACGGCGAACAATGCCGACGAACGGTTTTGCTGTTAGATCCACCGCGTCGCCTCTGACTCACAGAGAAGCTACCACCAACCACTGGCAGAACACAGCCGGTGCCCAGCACACCCCGTCCCTGAGCGTGAAGGTGCCCTCCAGAGAGGCCTTAGGCGCCAGGCAGGGCTTGCCGGCCCCCCAGCAACAGGCGAGTCCTCTGCTGTGACAGGTGAAGGCAGAGAACCCTGGGGTGAAGGCTCCTGCCAGGAGGCCGCAGTGCGGGAAGCGAGGGGCCGTGACCCTCTGCAGACAGTGGGACGTGGCACCAGGAGTGACGCCAGGCCCTCGGGAGCACCGGACGCCTGGACAGATCGGCGGGCGGTGAGCAGGGCCGAGGAAGCAGCACAGGCAGGTCCGTGGGCGGGGCCGTTCGTCCTTGGGGCCGTGTCCACAGTGAAGCCCTCAGCAGCTCTTCCCCCGTGGAGGAGGCACGTCTCAGTCCTCTCCCGACCCCTCACCCCCCAACGGAGATGACCGGGCAGCGCTCATGGGCAGTGGGCGTGCGTGGAGCTGCTCCCTCCAGGCGCCCCCACAGCCGAAGCCCATGGGGTCCATGGGGGCTCGTGGGCAAGGATCCCGGGAAGGAGGACAGTCTCCTGGTCCGTGTGCCAGCTCCTCCAAGGGGCGTGGAGCAGGGAAGGGAGAGTCCACGCCTCATCAGTGACCCCTCCATGCTCACGCTCCCAGGGTCACACACATCCTCCTCAGGGCCCCAGACTCCGTCCACTCCCCACCGTCCTGCTCCCTGCCCCCTGGGACTCCGTCCACTCCCCACCATCCTGTCCCCCAGACTCTGTCCACTCCCCATCGTCCTGCTCCGTGCCCTCCGGGACTCTGTCCACTCCCCACCGTCCTGCCCTCCTGACTCTGTCCACTCCCCACCGACCTGCCCCCCGCCGTCCTGACTCCGTCCACTCCCCACCGTCCTGCCCCTTATCTCTGTCTACTCCCCACTGTCCTGCCCCTGATGTCCAGTCCCCTCTCCCCTCACTTCCCATCCACTGGTCTCCCATCCACTCTCCCCGCACCTCCTCCTGACCTGTGGTCTCCTGTCATCTCTTCCCTCACCTCCTGACCCCAGGCCTCCCGTCCACTCTTCATCCACCTCCTCCTGACCTGTGGTCTCCTTCCTCCTTCCTCTCCTCCTGACCCCAGGCCTCCCGTCCACTCCCGCCCTCTAACCCTTAGTCTCTCATCCAC